ACATATCTAAACATATTTTACAAAAAAAAAAATGTTTTAATTTAATTAAACTGCATTCATTAATTTCATAAGTGAATATCAGTGTAGGAATATTAGTTTGGTTCCAAAAAATCATTCAAAACTCTCATGAATTAGTATAACTAAATAACCAATGTCATCATAGTTTTCTAGCTGTTGATTAAAGTAAACACACACACACACACACAGACACACACACACACACACACCATCATGCATCATAGAAGATCATGAAAGAAGATAAAACCAAAGGGTTGATCTGTGTTCCTAAAATAGGGAATCGGGTTGAGACAAGTTGTCACATTTATAAAAGTACATGCTGTTCACGAGTTGTATCTGTTCTTTTGAACAAAACAATGATATGTTATTTATTTATTGATTTATTTTTGTTTGTTTTTCAAAATTGTACTGTTCACATTTTGCTGGAAAGCATTTAAGCCATTTTAAATGCAGAACGTTGCGGGGAAAATGTCTTATTGTAACTTTAGATAGTATTTCTCATTTTAAACAAACGTATTCTTCTCAAATCGGTGCCAATGGTATAGTGACAACTTGCCCCGGTCTCCTACACACTAACAAATATTTCACTGAAATACATTTAAATGCATTCATGATTGACGTGGCTGCGCTGCTACGACGGTTTTAAACTTTCCCCTGTCTTGCGTCACGTGATGAGCTCGCGCTTACCTGTGTGTGCAGGTCTGAGGATGAGTCGCGTCGCGTCGCGTCGCGTCGCGTCTGTGCGGATGAAGCGGCGCTCTGCGAGGTTCATGGTATCCTCCGCCAGTGACGTCATCAACCATGGGCTGGACCTGCAGAAAAACAACCCCGCATTATCCAACAAGATTTATCGGTTACTTTTAAAGATATTATTTTTGGACACTTCGATTCTGATTCTAATAAAAACAAAGCTTGTTTTGTTATAAATTTAATTTATTTTCTTGGCAAATTCTATATCCATAAGTGTAAATTTACCAACAACAAACCAATTTATTTTATTTTTTTTTAAGAATTTAAAAAGTATCTTAATACTATTTCATCCTCTGTAAATAAGAAAGCGAGAAGAACGACTTCAACTTGTAATGACTTTAATTTGTATTCTCTAATTGAAATATAAATTAATATCTTACCCTCATGTTTTTTTTTGTTTTTTTTCCAATTTTTATTTTTTCTTGATCTTTTTCTTCTTTTTTTTTCTTTTGTTCTGTATGTTCAGATGACATTGTACATATTGCTGATAAATGTTGTGTACTCTATACAAAGTTGTATATCTTTAATGTCATCTTTGTGATGTATATCTTACCCTCATGTTTTTTTTTTTGTTTTTTTTCCAATTTTTATTTTTTCTTGATCTTTTTCTTCTTTTTTTTCTTTTGTTCTGTATGTTCAGATGACATTGTACATATTGTTGACAAATGTTGTGTACTCTATACAAAGTTGTATATCTTTAATGTCATCTTTGTGATGTTTGCATTCATAATAAAAAAAAAAAAAATTTTAAATCCAAAAAAAAAAAACAATCCCGCATCCCACATAAAACCCTTTTAACTTTATATGGACACTTATTGTATTGTGTACTACTATTATTATTACTATAATAAAGCTATGCAATAAAATAAAATATTTATACTTATATTTGAATTGATATGTCATAATGTACTGAAGAAAAATCAGTAAAATAAAATAAAAAATAAAAAACACTTCAGTGTATGGTTCATACCTATTATAAATAGCCTAATGTCCTGGCAAAGTTGTGAAAAAATTTTAAAAAATTAAATATATGTAAAAAAGAAAGATTAAAATAAAAACTCAAATTCAAAAAATAGCTGAATTACAATTTTTATTATATTGTACTGATAAAGTTATGTTAAAAAAAATTCAAAATGAATCAAATATCTGAATTCAATGTATTGTTATGAATATAATGTCTTGGCAAAATGTGTAAAACTAAAATAAAATTATAAAATCATTTAAAATGTATAGTTGAATTACATTTCACAAAATATTTAATTTATTTGATATATTGTACTGATGCAAACTAAATTAAACAAAAAATAGCTTAAAAACAATTTCATATGTGGTTTATGTGAATTATAAATATAATGTCCTGGCAAAGTTGTGTAACACTTAAAAATATTAATGATTATTAAAATATTAAATATTAAAATAATAACTATTCAATATATCACTGAATTTTTAATATATAAAAAAATGTATGTAAAAGGTTTAAGAAATAGCAAAAATAAATAAAATAACTCAAATTCCTTGTATTATTATTCATATAATGTCCGGGCAAAATTGTGTAAAACATTAAAAATGATTTGATATAGTCCAATTAAATGACAAATTTATATTTCTGAATTTAAAACAACAACAACAAAACAGTTCATTTAGATGATAGCACATGACGCATATTTTTAGATTACCTGTCAGAAATGATTTTACAGTGTTGTTTTAAAAGCAAAGAGCTGTGATTTAAAAAATTTAATAAAGAAATAAAAATGTTGATGTAGTAGAGAAAAGGGTGAAGGTTTGCATGTGTGGGAAAAGTGATACTGCATACTGAATCACTCAGGTATGTATTAATGATGAAACCCAACTAACCTCTCCTTCATCGAGAGATACAGTCATTACTGCACAACACAGTACCTAAATCATACAGGCCCTGTCTGGCCCTCCCCTCCGCTCCATCCACAGGACCACAGCTTTTACAATGACTGCAGACTGTTTAAAGGTTGAAAACCCCATACAGACAGTCTAAAAGCATGTGCATTGATGTTAATGGGGGCTAAATAGGATGTAGTGTAAACACAGACCATGCCAGTGTATAAAGAAGCTATTATTAGCAGCTGTAGAAAGAATGGGAATCAATAATGTACTCTAGTTCAAACTATCCTCTATAGAAAAAAGCAGTGTGAGTGATTAGAGTTTATTTTATGGGCTAATGCACTCATAAAGCAACAGAGACAAATGAGGGGGCTGTTTAAAAATCAATGTGCTCTAAATACCGTCAAATCTCTATGAAGCACAGGCTAGTCTTATAGATATTAAGGTACTTGACATTGAGACAATATGCCATTTACTTAAAGGGATAGTTCACCCAAAAATGAAAATTCTGTCATCATTTACTCACCCTCATGTCATTCCAAACCTGTATGAGTTGCTTTATTATGTTGAACACAAAAGAAGATATTTTGAAGATTGCTTGTAATCAAACAGTTGGTGGTTGCCATTGACTTCCATAGTATTTTTTTTTTCTACTATGGAAGTCAATGGCAACCACCAACTGTTTGATTACCAGCAATCTTCAAAATATCTTCTTTTGTGTTCAACATAAGAAAGCAACTGTGAGAGAATTTTCATTTTTGGGTGAACTATCGCTTTAAAGTCAATCAATTCTGCATTAAAGACAATCTGTGAACCATTTACACAGTGATTGCATGAGATGCGGCGTCCTCTGCTGGATGAATGATGAAAAGGAAGCTCTGTGTCTTCTAGGTCGATATTTGGACATTTCCATGGTAATGCCAACAGTATATTTATATGAATATGATATAAATTAATTACGTGAATTTTTGTCAATTACTAATTATTTTGTTTAAAAAAAAAGAGAGAGTTACCGAAGACTTACATCATACCTATTTGTGGAAATTGTTAAGTAGTATATACAGAGATGTGAAAAAGTGTTGGCACCCTTTCTGCTTTTAACATTTTTTGCATATTTGTCACACTTAAAAGATTCAGATCATCAAACAAATTTTAATATTACACAAAGATAATGCAAGTAAATACAAAATGCAGTTTTTAAATGATTATTTATTTTATTAAGGGAAAAAAGCTGTCCAAACCTGCCTGGCCCTACGTGAAAAAGTAATTGCCCCCTAAATCTAATAACTGGTTGTGCCACGCTTTGCAGCAACAACTGCAATCAAGTGTTTGCGATACCTGGCAATGAGTCTTTCACATCGCTGTGGAGGAATTTTGGCCCACTCTTCTTTGCAGAATTGTTTTAATTCAGCCACATTGGAGGGTTTTCGAGCATGAATGGAGTGTTTAAGCATCTCAATCGGATTTAAGTCCAGACTTTGACTAGGCCACTCCAAAACCTTAATTTAGTTTTTCTTGAGCCATTCAGAGGTGGACTTGCTGGTGTGTTTGGGATCATTGTCCTGCTACATAACCCAAGTGTGCTTGAGCTTGAGGTCACAAACTGATGGCCAGACATTCTCCTTCAGGATTTTCTGATAGAGAGCAGAATTCATGGTTCCGTCAATTATGGCAAGTCGTCCAGGTCCTAAAGCTGCAAAGCAGCCCCAGACCATCACACTACCACCACCATGTTTGTCTGCTGCTATGATGTTGTTTTTATGAAACGCTGTGTTGGTTTTATGCCAGATGTAACGGGACACACACCTTCCAAAAAGTTCAACTTTTGTCTCATCAGTCCACAGAATATTTGCCCAAAAGTCTTGGGCAAATGAGAGACGAGCCTTTGTGTTCTTTTTGGTCAGCAGTGGCTTTTGCCTTGGAACTCTCCCATGGATGCCGTTTTTGCCCAGTCTCTTTCTTATTGTTGAATCATGAACACTGACCTTAATTGAGGCAAGTGAGGCCTGCAGTTCTTTAGATGTTGCTCTGGGTTCTTTTATGACCTCTTGGATGTCGTCGTCATTGTGCTCTTGGAGTAATTTTAGTTGGCTGGCAACTCCTGGGAAGGTTTACCATTGTTCCAAGCTTTCTCCATTTGTGGATAATGGCTCTGACCTATTGTGATGTTTTTATCAGCTGTTTGGACTCTCATTCTAACGGCACCCATTCACTGCAGAGGATCCATTGGTGAGCAACAATGCTACATTTCTCCAAATCTGTTCCCATGAATAAACAAACTCATCTATATCTTGGATGGCCTGAGGGCAAGTATATTTTCAGCCAATTTTTAAGTGAAATATTAATTTTGTCAGTGAATTAAACCTCACCTTCTCTATCAGCAGCGAGGAGCATTTGAGGATCCGCTGTCTAGAAGAGTCTCTAAATGACACTTTAGACAAGTTAGGCCTGTTCTCCATCAGGTCCAGCTCCACTTCTCCCATTACCTGCAATCTCACACACATACACACACACACACACACATACACATACACACACATAAACACACACTCTCATATATAGACCCATAATGAACCAAGCACCTTATTCAGCAACTGAAAGTGTTTGATAATAGCAGTGTTATTGAGATAAAGTGAGCAGTATTCAGCTGGTCATGTGATCTCAATATTTTAGGCCCAGGATATGAAGTTGTAGAAACTCAAGCCTACAGATGGACCTTTCTACCGTACCATAGCACTGGAGCCGCTGGTGAAGGTTGTGTGGAGTTTGTTCTTGGTGACTGATGACTGTCTGCTGACACTGTTGTCCTGGAATGAGGCGTCGCTATTGGTGGAGGAGTTGAGACAGTCCTTCTGAACGCGAGACAGGCAGGACAAACCTGGGACCTTCTCAGCTAATGTGGCTCTGCAGAGAGACAGATGAGCAATGCTGTGAAATTGGCTTCCTATACAATTAGCTTTTTGATTGTTTCATTTATTATTTTATTTATGATTTTTTAAGTCACTTTTTTATTATTCTATAGAGAAAGCAACTTTTTGCTATATATAAAATTTGATTAAAAACGGTCCAAAGAACATCATTTGTAGAATGATAGAAATCTTTTGTGACATTATAAATGCAGACTTTTGAAAAAGCAAAGATATTTAAAAAAAAAAAAAACATAGCCCCAAACTTTGAAACATTATACATGATACTTTTGAACATTATATATTATACTTTTGGAAATTATATTTAATATACTTTTAAACTATATACATATTTTTGAACATTATATGTTTGAACATTGTTGAAAAATATCCATTATGCGCCATACATTTTTAAATGCCTTTTAAGTTATTCATCTTTTTTTCTTTTTTTTTTTTTAGTTCACATAAATGTTACCAATGTTTTTAAAACTGCATATATAAAAATTATACAAGAATTTTAAAACTTATATATAATAAATATTAATTATTACAATGTTTTTACAATTGGTTGAACCCATGCATATATATATATATATATATATATATATATATATATATATATATATATATATAAATTAGTTAACTTTCTGCTAACCATTTGTATTTATAATTTGATCATATATTTTACATGAAGTGTGCATGATTGTGTATTTGTTTGTTTTATGATATTTTTACCTGTATTTGGTGTGAACTATGGCATATATGAAAGGGTTGTAGATAGCAGATGATTTGGCAATGACCGCCGGCAGTGTTTTAGAGTAGGGTGTGAGGATGTTTGCATGCCTGAGAAACAAAGGGAAAAACAGTTACTTTTGAATGCATGTAGGTCATTCAAAAAATTCAAGTGCAGTGCTGAAAAGAGAGAAAGAGCTTATAATGTTAAATAATCACATCCTACTTCTCACAGCTGTGCTGAGCTTAACTACTATAGAGGTCCACACAAACACACACACACTTATAAGACAAAAGTACAGCGAAAAGTGCCAGATAAACAGTAATCAGGGGATTTGTAGATTACAGACACTGTAACACTACTGATATATAAAGAACACTGCAAACTATATATAGCATATAGTACACTGATTTAATGCATCTTATTCCATTAGTTTTTCTAAATATTTTAATCAACATTTAATGTTTTTGTGTCCTCTAGAATTCTGGTATCCGAAGGGATCACTAATAACAATAATGGTGACTCGAAACTATTAACCAATAACTTCAATACTAAACTGAGCTAAAATCTCTATTAATTCTAAATAAAAAAACTTTTCTTCAAATCAGTGTCTTTGAACAGTAAGTTCCCACTGTGACAACTTACCCCATATAGTGAGACAATGTATCCTGTTTTAAGTTAAACATCTGTTAAATGAACTTGAAACTTTTTTACAGGCAATAACTGGACATTTTTTTGTAGTCAGTACTTAGTTATACAGAAACACAGGATACAGGAAAAACCCGCATTACTAACCCAATATTATATTGCAAACACAACATATAGGATTAGTTAGGAACAGTATACTTTCAAATTTAGGGCAAATACTGTATTTAATTTTTTCTCAGTCAAATGTATCTCTTTAATCTCAGAAGAAAGACCAAGTCATGCCTAGAGTTTAGATAACAACAGAGCAGCACAGTGAACACAGAGCTTACACAAGTGAGCTGTTGTTTGGCTCTCATCACATGGCCATTAAATCAGTACGAGGCCATAATTTTACAACCCCGTATGGTTGCATGTGACAGTAATACTGATATTTAAGAATAATGCATGTAGTCACAGAATTTGATGTACGCTACCGTTTAAAATTTTGGGGTTGTGAGAATGTTTAATGTTGTTGAAAGAAGTCTCTTTTGCTCACCAAGGCTGCATTTATTTGTAAAAACAGTTCTATTTTTGAAATACTATTGCAGTTTAAAATAATGTTTTCTATTAGCATACATTCTAAAATGTAATTTATTCCTGTGATCAAAGCTGAATTTTC